CGATCTGGTGGGCTGGCCGCGTCAGCCGCGCGCCTACCAAGGCTGTTGCGCAGCCGCTTGCCACGCGCCTGCGCTCCTCCATCCCCTGCCACCAATGCCATCAACCACGCACCACGGTGGCCCTGCCCTGCCCCTCTCGTGCAGGGGGGCACGGGTCTACACTGCCGACAGCTCCATCTGTCGGGCCGCCATCCACGCCGGCGTGCTGACCAACTCTGGAGGCTTGGCGACTCTGTACTGGCTGCCTGGGCAGGACGGGTACACGGGTGAGGCGTGCTATAAGCCAGCAAGCTGCTGCTACAAGCGGCTGCGCTGCAGGCAGCCGACGTGCCTCACCCGTTGATGCCTGCTGGCCTGCTGATCCCATGCATGTGCATGCATGTTGGGCAAAGTGGGCCTGGAACTTATCGTCCACCCCTCCTTGTGCCAATGTGCAGCAAGCACCGCCAACGGCATCACCACTCAGGCATACGGCGCCTGGCACGACTCTTTCACCTTTGTCGCCCCATCACCGCCGCCGTCCCCTCCCCCTCCCAGCCCCTCTCCACTGCCACCCTCCCCTGAACCGCCCACGCTATCCACACCCAGTCCCAAACCTCCCTCGCCCAAGCCCCCGCCAAGCCCGGAGCCGCCCAGCCCGGAGCCTCCCAGCCCCAAGCCGCCCAGCCCCAAGCCGCCCAGCCCCAAACCGCCCAGCCCCAAGCCTCCCAGCCCGCCCCCACCCAGCCCAGACCCGCCCAGCCCGGAGCCGCCCTCGCCCAGGCCCCCACCACCGCCCAGCCCTGAATCGTCCACCTCCAGCTCCGCGCAAGAATGCGAGGAAGGCAGCGTGAGTCTGCTGGGTGCGGCCTGAACCTGCTGCGGGCAGAGCGGCGTGTGTTCGCTGCTGCTGGGCCCTTGGGGGCTCCCAAGCGCCTTGCGTGGCACGCTGGATGCCTCCCCACCCTGTCCTGTCCCACCCCACCCTCTCCGCCCTCCCTGCACCCCACTGCAGCTCTTGAACGTCTGCACCAGCTGCGACGGCTGCGGCAGCGGCGAGTGTGTGTGCCTCTTTGGCGCTTGCGTGTGCCTGGTGCGAGCCGTCGCCGCAGCTGCCTGCTCGCCGCCACCTTGCAGCCGCTGCCATCTGCATTCGGGTGTCTTCCATCTCTGCTGTGCATATCAAAGCATGGCACGGCACAGCATATAGCTTGACCTCACACCCCCTCACTCACCCACCTTCCTCCCGTGCCGCTTCAGTCTTACGGCTCCACCGCCTGCCAGGCCGGGCAGGTGCGGTGCGGCGTGTGCGGCGTGTGCGAGGACGGCGCGTGCCGCGAGCTGCCGGAGGGCGGGCGGGGCAGAGGCTCCTACAAGAAGCGCATGTGCTTCGAAGGTGAGCGCTTGCTGGAGGAAGGCAGCCGCTGTTCAGGCAGCCAGGAGCAGGCTAGGCCATGTGGCCGCGCACCGAAAACGGAACCCTTCCCTGCCCACGCTTCCCGCTCTGCCCGGGCTGCCTGCCTGCCTGCCCAGCAGCCAACCCACCTCCGCCTCGGAGCCGCTGCCTCACTCTCGCTCGCACCCTGGCCCGCCTGCAGATTACCCCCTGGGGTGCCCAGCCAACAAGCCCATCTGCCAGGCTCGGGCTTGCGAGCGGCCTGGGGCCGTGGGTCTAGGATACTGCAGGGTGAGGCTGCAGCCGCTGCTGCTCCAGCGGCTCCTGTCAGCAGCGGCAACAGCACCCCTGCGCCTGCCAGGTTCTTCGCTCTTTGTACTGGCGCCTCAACCTTGTGATCACCTGCTGCCCTACCCCTGCAGAAGGAGAATGACCCCGGCTACAACGGCAACAATGGCGTGGGCAACGGCGCCAGCAACGGCGGCGGCAGCGGCGAGCAGGCTCGCCGCCGCCTGCTGTCTTCGGTGCCGGGCGGGCGGGCGGTTGAGGCGCTGCAGCAGGCGGCTGGGGGACTCCTCCAGCGCCGCCTGCGTGGCATCGGCAGCCCCACCCTGCCGCTTGTGCAGCCCGAGCAGCCACGGCAGCTGAGCAGCGGGGAGCTCAACGCCCTCATGCACGGCGCCTACCGCGAGGAGCAGGAGCAGCGGCGGCGGCGCCGGCTGCTGCAGCAGGCCGCCGCGCCGCCCAACGGCACCTCGGCCGGCCCGCCGCCCGCGGCGGGGGCGGCGCAGGCGCCCGCGCCCGCCCCCGAGCCAGGCGGCAGGACCATCATGGTGAAGGACCTCAGCGCCGTGGACGGTACCGGCGGCAGTATCTACGTCGTCACCTCCACGGGGGTAGAGACCAACGCCACGGCCAACGCGTCCGCGCCGGGTGCGCCTGCGCCCACGCCTGCATGCCTCTGGCAGCTGCGCGGGCCCCGCCGGCCCGCCCTGCCCAACACCGCCCTGCCTTGTCCTGCCCTGCCCCTGGCTGACCCCACCACACGCATACACACACGTGCGCACACACTAACACATAGCTCCCGTGCGCCCCACTCCTGACCTGCAGCCAACGTCACGCTGCCGGAGGGCGTGGCCAGCCAGATTGAGGGAATCATGGAGTCAGTCAAGAACAGCGTCAGCCTCACGCTGCAGGTGGGAGGCCCGCCTCGCCCGCCACTCGCCACGCACATGCGCTGATGCGCCGCTCCAGCCACAACTTGCGCAGCGGCGCATGCGGTGCCGAGGCATCTGATCCGAGGCCGCTTTACCCTTACCTTGCCCACGCTGCCACCCCGCCCCGTGCGCCATGCAGAGCGGGGAGGGCATCTATGCGCTGTGGAACACGCTGTTCTGGGTCTCCATAGCGCTGGTCGCCATTCTGTGCCTGCACGCCGCCATCCGCGCACTGATCATCTGGCGCAAGTGGCGCATGCGCATGTTCTTCGAGGTGCGGCGCCTGCTGTTGTGCGGGCTGCTAGTAGATGTCAGCAGCCGTGTTGCGATGAGAGTTGGTTACTTGTGGGCTGAGCGTCTCCCTCTCTGCGCCTTGCTGCTGCAGTGGCCACGGCCGGAGCTCTGGTTCATGTGGTGTGTGCTTCCCATCATCGCGGCCCAGGGAACAAGTGAGTGGCACGCCTTGATGCCGTGCTGCCAGCCTACCACCAGCGGGCGCTGCTGCGCTGCATGACGGAGCCTTCCAAGCTGCTGCCTGGCTGGCCGGCTTCTGACCCTCGCCCTCCCTGCGCCTGCGCCCGCAGTGCTTGTGGTGGGAGAGACCACGGGCGAGGTGGCGGCGGGCGTCGCCTTTGGCATCCTGCTGCCCGTGGGGCTGTTGGCCATGTCTTTCTTCCTGGTCGTCAAGCACCTGACCATGGTGGTGAGCGCGGCGGCTGCGCCACGCGCCTGCCCTGCCCACACCTCGCCTTGCTTGCCCAGTTTCCTCGGGCAACCAAACCGAGCTCGTCAACGCCTAGGTGGAACACAGATCGGCACCCTCGCTCCCTTGGCAGCCCTCGCCCCTTGCTGAGCTCTGTGTCTTGTCCACCCCCGCCCCCCTCCGTCCCTCCCTCCCTCCCTCCCGTTGCCTCCCCGCAGATCCCGCATCAGCGCAGCGCCTACTACCTCCCCGACCAGGAGGCGGAGAAGGTCAAGCGCAAGCGGCAGGCCAAGCTGGCCCGCCTGCAGTCTGGCGCCACCAGCGCCGGCACCCTGGGCGACGTGCCGGCCGGCCCCAGCGGCGCGCCGCGCCTGGAGCGCGTCAGCACGGGCCTTGGCGGCTCCGACTACAGTCGCACGGTGTCGCTGCAAGAGCGCGGCAGCTGGACGCGGCACGCTGGAGCGGCCAGCCCGGGCGCCGCCTCGGCCGCCTCGCGCTCCTCCGGCGCCGGCTCGGCGGCCGGCGCCGAGCTGCTGCGCCCGGCGCGGATGGACAGTGGTGCTGGCAGCGCCGGCGAGCAGGAGGAGGCCAGGAGGCCGCTCAAGAAGCGCATTAAGAAGTGGCTGGTGCGCTTCATCGTCAAGCCGCTGATCGGCTTCGACCCCTCGCTCCAGGGCGAGTGGGTGCCGCCGCACGGCTACGACGTCAGGTCAGTGGGAGCGCCGCGGCTGCTGCCGCTGCTGCTGCGCCTTCCGTTGCTGGCGACCGGCCACCGCGGCGGCCTGGCGGAGCGCAACTGGCGGCCGTGCTGCCTTGCGGCTGGCTGACTGGGGGCCCCACCTGCTGCTGCCCCGCCTGCAGCTTTGTGGCGCGGTACGGCGTGCTGTTTGAGACGTCCCGGGGCCCTGACGTGGTCTACAGGTGCGTGCGCCAGGGGGGGAGACTTCTTGTTCTGGCTACCCCACACTATTTGTTGCCGCTGCCGCCAGATGTGCTGCATGCCTGCCGTGCACCTTGTTCGTGGACCAGACCTTATTTCCCCTGCCCTTCCTGCCCTGGGCAGCTGGTGCCGTTAAGGGGCATCCCACCTGGCACCGCGCTCATCCCCTGCATGCCGTGCCTTTCCACCTGCTGCAGGCCCGGCACATTTGAGTTGGACCCTGCGACCGGCAAGTATGACCGCGGCGAGATGATCCCCCTGGCCGATACGCGCTGGTCCAGGGCACGAGAGGTGGCCCGGGTGAGCGCCTGGCAGGCAGGGCACCATGCACGCTTGAGCGCCGCCAGACCAAGAGCCTGCCATACCAAGGGCCGCCTCCAGCTGGCAGTGCTGCTAGTGAGCGCGCCCGCCTGGGCTCCCCAGGAGGAGCGTGTGTGTGCAGCCATCCTGCGCTGACGTGCCTGGCCTGCTCTGCCCTGCCTCCTGCTGCAGACGCTGGGCGTCACCGTCCAGCTGCTGAAGCTGGTGCTGTTTGCCCAGCTGGCCTCCATCTTTGGCCACAGCTCCAGCATCAGCCCCCTATGGCAGGTGCGTGCTGAGAGGGCTGCCGCCGCCGCATGAGGGGTGCCTCCCTGCCTCACCACGCTGCCTGGCGCCCCCCCAGCGGGCCACCGTACTCTGGGCATCGCTCTGCCCGAGCATCCACCTGCGAGGCCCATACCCTGGCTTGTCCCACCGAACTCATCCCATTGCTGATCCGGCACTGCCGCTGTACCGCAGGTCATCCCCATGCTCATCCTCATCGTGGTCTACTGGACGTATGTGCGTTTCTTTGTGCCCATGGCCTCCTTTGGGGACATGGCAAACGAGGTGGGTGTGCAAGCCAGGGAGGGGAGGGAAGCTGGAGGCGCTTCCCTGGGGATGGGGGCATTAAAGAATTAAGATGCAACAGGATGGGGGCATAAAAATAAACAGCGGCAGCAGCGGGCACCAGCGTCAGCTTGCGTTGCTGTTCGGAAGAGGCGCCCCTTGTTGCTGGGAGAGCAGCCTGTGTTGTCAACGAGGGAGGGTGTTCTGGTCGGCAGTACACTCCAAGCACGCCGCGCTGCTTCCCGCGCTGCAGGTCGCCGGCTGCGCCCTGGATCTGGGCACCTTTGTGTGCGGCATCATCCTGGCTGTGACCCCGGTCACCAGCTACCAGACCATGTGAGCTGCCCGCCCCGCCTCGGCGTGCAATGCCGCTCACTCTTCCAGACTGCTTCAATGCTACGCATCTGATGGGCTGCGCCGCCTGGGCACCACTGGAGTCATTGTTTGTCAAGTGGTCCCACGTGAACTGTTCTCTGTTGCTATGGATGTTGCTATGGATCCTGAGCCTGTCCCACCCTTCTCCTCCTGCTGCAGCAACAACCTGGGCATTGCCATGCTCTCCTTCCAGTTCCTCTCCCTCATCCTCACCCTCTTCCCACCCTGCATGGAGTTCCTTGTCATGGGCGTGGGCTGGGTGTGGCACAAGCTCTTCCCCAGCCCCGGCGACAAGTTTGCGCGCGTGGTGGAGGAGGTCATGCGCAAGGATGAGCGCATCCTGTCCCGCAAGTTTGCCGACCGCTGGCTGCTCAAGTGAGTGCCCCAGTGGCGGCGCTGGGCTTCCGCTGCTGCTGCGTGTGCGCTGGCTGTGGGCGTGTGTTGCGACTCGCCAGCGCTGCTGCTGAGCCTGGGTGCCACTGTCGCCATGCCTGCCCGCAGGGTGCACGGCCGCGGCCTCAACCAGCGCGCGCTGCACCAATATGAGAAGCAGCAGCTGCTGCTGCCGTTTGGCTTCAACATCAGGTGAGCGGGTGGTGCCAGAGATTGAAGCTGCCTGCCCCTGGATGCTGAAGCACGAGCAGGAGACGAGCCGTGCGCCGACTCTCCCTGCCCCCGCGGATGTGCAGACCCGCCGGCCTGGTGCGCACCCTTGCCTTTGGCGGAGGCAACAGGCAGCAAGCCAGCCGCAGAGACGCGCAGTCCGCAGTCAACCAAGCGGCAGCGGAGGCTGCGGCTGAGGTGGCAGCGCACCAGGGCCGTCGCCGGCCCAGCATGCTGGCCTCCCTGTCCAGAAGCTTCAGAAGGAGCAGCGTGGAGCGTCGGTCGCAAGACAGCACCGCGCGCCCGTCCCCCTTGCTCCCCTTTGCCGGCGGCAGCACCACGGAGGGCAACCCGCCGCCATCCGCTGCCGCCATCTCCGCTCCCCCATCCACGGCGGCGCCAGGCAGCCCCCGGGCCAGCCCCGCAGTCGGCAGCGCCCCTGCCAGCCCCAGGGCGGGCAGCGGCGCCGGCACCCCTCCCGCCTTCTGATTGTTGAGACACGTGATGGGACACCCTCCTTATTCCAGCGCCATCCGATCAACGCTTGACGAATGACCCAGGTGAAGCAGGTCGCTGCATGTTGCACCACCACCACTGTCTGACTTTCAGAGTGCATCGTTCAGCGCGCGCGTGCGCTGCGCACGCACTCTCCCAACACCTTGCCTTCATTCTCTTCTCTTCACTTATTGCCAAGACCACTTTTCCTCGCTATAGCAGCGTTCCTCTGCCGTTTTGCTAACACTGACCACATTCATAAGCGACCTCCCTTGACTCTACTCGCATCCTCAACCCCTAGTATAATCTGTTCTGACGTGGGTGTCTCTCTATCGACATGTTTTTCTTTTGCACTGTAATAACCTGCACCCACGTGCCGCCAAGCAGAGCGGGAACCGCCGAACACAGCAGGAACAGATGGGCGCGCACACGAGGTGGGGCGGCTGGTGGCAGGCGTGGTGGGGTCGGGGAAGTGTCATGGTGAGAAATGGCGCATGCGGCAGCGAGGCACTTGGCCTCGCCAGTTCAGTGCAGAGAGCTATTCCACGCTGTCTCCCATCAGGCCCCACACGCGCCACTTGCAGGAACACGGCCCAGGCAAGTCGCCCTGGCCCACAGTGCCCGCCGTTGGGGGTCAGCAAAGAAGGCTCTTGCACAAATGGCGGATGGAGGCAGCTAGCCCTCACTGGTGCGCGCCAACATCACATGCAGAGGCATATGCTACAGCCAGTCTCTGTGTGGCTGCCACTGGTGGCCGAGTCTGGGCATGCTCGACGGCACAGGGCGGCTCAAGTGCGGCGGCGGGAGGCAGGGTGCGGGGGCACCCGCTGTAAGCTCCAACCGGCGCCGGGGCTCGCTCCGCGTCGTTTCTGCTCTCAAACGTCCGATTCTGCGGCTGGGACGCCCAGAGAGCTGAGCCCGAAACTGCCCTTCGAGAAATTGGCGCTCAGGACCTCCCGGCCCGCCGGCCGCAATGGCCGTCAACGACCAGATCGTGCTCGATGGCGATGGGTTTGAAAGCTCCTGAGGCTCAACCTTCTGCAGCTGCAGGCCAGCTGCCCGCCCCGGAGGGACAGTACACCACGTGGGACAGGAAAGCCCAGGGACCTCCACAGCGCCCCCAGAGGTGTATTCGAGCCCAACAGAACGGGCATGGAGCAGCAGAGGCCGAGGCGGAGAGGCGGAGGAGGGGTTCATGTCCCCCTCTTCCCCTATCCCCTCTCAGCCGCCCTCTGGTTGCTACTGCTGGCGGTGATCGTGGGACCACGCGCGGCGGGGGGCTTCGAGGCGGCGGAGGTGGAGGTGAGAGAGTTCATGCAGCAGCATGAAGTGAGCCCCACGTCCCGGCCCCTCCCGCCTCCCACAAACCACCAGCTGGGCGCGGGGGATTCTTTGTGGCGGTGTGCGGCGCACTGAGCGGTTTGCCGCCCCATTTTGCGCAGGTCCACCTGCCGCTCCCGACGCGTCCCGCGCTGTTTGCCAGCGGCAGGCACGAGAACAGCAGCAGCACCATGGGGCTGCTGCCGGACGCCCTGCGCCGCATGCTGCTGACCACATATGAAACCAGCGGCAACATCGGCACGCTAGGGCCGCAAGTGCCGGTCATCCTGGCCATAGCTCCCAACCAGCCCGTGGTGGCAGTGAATGCCAGCTCCGGCAGGATCATCGTCGCGGATGCGGTGAACACCACGCGCTGCATACGCTACGCGCCGGGCTTCAACGCCACCACTAGCAGCAGCAACGGCGCAGCACGTCCGCCGCTCGACCTCAGCGCTTGCCTGGTGTCCACCACAGTGGTGGCCTCGGCCATCCAGGAGATCAGCGTGCAGGCAAGCACATGCTGCAGCTGGCTGGGCAGCGGCGCTGTACCAAAATCAGCGTACCGATCCTGTAGCGACGCGGCAAGCAGGCGGGGCAACCGGGCAGGGCGGCATATTGCGCGCCACGTGGCGGCATTTTGTGCCCGCTGGAGCGCCGCAGGCCGCATGCCGGCTCGGGGATGGCATCTCACTTGCCCCTGCTGTTGCTGCTGCTGCTGCTGCTGCACCTTGATGCTGCAGGTCATGGTCAATGCATTAGTAGACAGCATGAGTGTGGAGGATTTGGATGTGGTGGGCGGGACAGCGCTGCAGGTATCAGCGCCATTCATCAAAGGCGCATTCCAGATCTTCGACGTGAGCACAAGGAGCAGCCGATTGGGCAGCCGAGGGCAGCTGGACGGCCTGGCAGCTGCCGTGCTGCCACTCCGCATGCCGCGCTTGCTGCGGGCGAAAGGAGGCCAGCCGGCGCACTTGGAGCTGCTGGTGCTATGCTGGCGGCGCATGTGCGCAGACGCACAGACATCAGGCAGCTGACCCCTCTTTTGGCGGGCGTGTGCTGCCTCTGTTGTTGTTTGCTGCAGGTAACGGTGCGGCTGGCTATGGCTGACACACCTTGCAAAATCAGGGTGCTGCCCGGGACGTTCACAAGTGAGCGTCGTTGCCCGCCACATGCCGCCGGCGCCACCTGGCGCGCGGCAGCCTCCTCGCCTGGGTTGGTGCCAGCAGCGGCTGGCAGCAGGCACCGGCGGGCCGCATGCGCCGCACGTCGTCACATCCCGCTCCGCATGCTTGCACCTTTTGCTGCAGACCGGGCGGGGGAGCCCACGGAAGGCAGCAACACGCTGGTTGCTGTGTGGGACACCCAGCCGCCTGAGCCCATCGTCAACACCATCGGCTCCTACCAGACGACCGACCAGCAGCGCTTGCCCCTGGTCATCGATTTCGGGGAGCGCGTGCTGCAGCTGAACCCACTGAAGCTGTTCAGTGTGACGGGGTTCGCCAGGTGCGCCTTCTGGCTGGGAGATGGCTGGCTGGCTGGCTGGCTGGCTGCGGGCTGGCTGCGGGGAGCATGCGCATGCGCGGGTGGGGCAGCAGCCTGGGCGCGGCAGCTGCTCCGTAGGCGTGCACAGAGCGTGGCCAGGCGGCGCGGCCCCTGGCAGGCCTGGCGGGGCCTCGGCGGGCTGCCCCGTGCCGGCGCTGGCCGGCGAGTAACGCGCGCTGCTCAGGCACCGCTGGTGCTGATGCCACGGTGTGTCCCGCCTGTGCGCAGGTTGGATGTGTTGTATGAGGTTTTGGAGGGCAGGATCTTCCTGATCGGCAGCATTTCGGACCCAGAAGTCCCCGTCATAGTCACAGGTGCGCGTGCGCGTGTGCTGGGGCAGAGCAGCGGCCAGATGTGGGCGCCAGGAGGGCGCACTATGCCGTTGCCGCCGCCGCTGCTTCGTGCGGGGTGGCGGCACGTCGTGCTTGCGCTGCGCGGGGCGCGCGGAGCTGGGGGGCGCGCGGAGCTGGGATGGTGCGGTGCAGCGGGGACGGGGCGCTGGAACCGACCGGGTTGCATGCGCTGCCGCGGCCTGGTGCAGTGACGGTGCCAGCCAACGTGACGACTGACATCATGGGCAACCCCAACGCTGGTGGGTGCCTGCCGCCTGCGCCGCGGCCGCCGCTCCCTGCGTGCGTGCGAGCAAGCCGCAGCCGGGTCGGGTGGCGTGGCAAGCTGGCTGAGACGCCTCCCTCCTGTTGCCCGACACCCCGCCTCCCACCACACTGTCCTGCCGCCCTGCCCTCCCTTGACCGCAGGCGTCACGTACGACCTGGTGTATCTGCCTAAGAGCATGCAGTCGGAGAACGTGGGCAAGGCCATGTCGTGAGTGCCGCTGCGCTGCCGCCCTCTTCTTTCCAGCATGGTCGCCTGGCCCCACCTGCGCGTGCAGCGCGGCACGCTGCACAGCAGTGCCGGGTGCTAGCTGGCGGCGGCGTGGAGGGGACCCACCGGCCCTTGTCCCCAAAATCCCTGGACTCACCTTGCCATGCCCCCTGGCTGCCTTCCTCGTCTGCCTGCAGGGCGGTGTTTGCGCTGTCTGGCGGAACTTTCTTCCTGGGCACCATGGCCATCAACGCCCTCCTGCCGCTGTCTGTCTGTGAGTGTGCTGCACCGCCGGAGTATGCAGCAATGGCAGGCGGCCAGGCGCTGGAGTTCTCCTCTCATTTGCAGCCTTGAACCGCTGCGCTCGCTGCCGTGCCATCATGATTGAATGCGCCGCTCATGCGCTGCTTCCATGCTCTCCCTGCGCAGTCCCCACCGGCAACAACCTGGGCGTGATGGTCAGGGTGCAGTTTGTCTACCTGGTGAGCTGAGCCAGCAGGCTGACGTGGCATGCTGATGTGGCATGCCGTGCCGTCCCGCGCCATGCTGCCATGCTGCCAGCATGCCGCAGCTTCCCGCTTCGTCATTTGCCACTGCTCCCGGTCCTGTGCATCCTCCCCATATCCCGCCCTGACCGTGGCCACTGCTGCTTGCTGCGCTGCTGACTGCTCCGCAGTTTGGGCAGCTGAGCATCCCCACGCTGCCGCTCAACTACCGCGTAGCTGCCGACCAGCTGGGATACGTCACCCTCGACTTCCCGTGAGCGCTCAGCCCAGCCGCTGCCGCCGCCGCATGTTCTTCCTCGCGGGTCCCTGCCCCGGGCTTGCCAAGGATGCCTGCGTGCCTGCTGCTCCTCCCATGCTGATAAACCATGCCGTGCTCTCTGCCTGCCTGCAGCTCGCCGGTCAACCCAGACGGGTCGACCACAGCCGGGGAGGACGGCTCCACCACCACCGGGGATGAACAGGCGGAGGCCGCATTTCATTACGCACATATTATACATAGCCTATTATAGCCTATTATAGCCTATTATAGCCAACAGTAGCCCACCCGTCCGCTCACAGAGAGCCATCGCGCCGGCCTCGCGCCGATCACCCCCACACCCCCACCCTCCACACTCACCCACCCACCCATCAGCATGTCAAGCAGCGAGGGAGCCAGCCTTGGGCAGCGCAGCCAGCAGCCGATCAGCAACCCGGCCTCCCGGGCATCCCTGCGGCCCGATTTCCCCCATATCGTGGTCAAGGGGCTCGCTCTGGAGGCCGGTGGGGGCCTGGGGGCCGCAGTCGCAGCCTTCGTTTTGTTTTGCCGGGCCAGCCTTCACCTGCCAGTGCCTGACTGTGTGCCTGTGACCTGCGTTGAGATTCGGGTGCGTGGGGACGGGCGCAGCGAATGCCACCTGCGACTGACTCCTGCCCTGTGCGGCGCCCTGATGGGTGCCCGCCGCCGCCTTTCGTGGGCAGCACCAGAGGTCAGCATTGACCTCTGGCGCTCACCTGGGGAGCTACAATACCTCCATGAGCTGCGCCAGCAGCGCGCGGAGGAGCCCCCAGCGCGCCAGGTGGGGCGGGCTGCGACCTCTCGCTGGTGGCGAGCGGCTCCCCTCCCGCCGCCCTCAGCTGAAGTCGTTGCCGCCCCTGTTGCTGCTGCCCCTGCCCAGCCCACGCCTGCGCCGCCTACACTGCCTGCCGCCGCCGCCGCCGCTGCCGCCGCCGCCGCTGCCGCCGCCGCCGCTGCTGCC